AAGTGTTCCCTTTATTTTTTTGAGCAGTGTATATATAATTTTAAAAAATCACAAAGGTAGTGCACTGGGCCTTTAATAGTCCTGTATTAGCAGACCGATATATCCGTCTGCAGCGTGGGCAAAACCGTTTTTTTCAGCCCCCCCAAACTACTTCCCGCAGCTATGCATTTTGGTACCCCGTCAGCCCTGCAAAGTAGTTTTCTTTAACCAGAAATGAAACTACAGATTACACCTTTAACCTAGAGGGGTGACGGGCATATTATTTTCGACCACAAAATAGTCCACTCTAGAATTCCAGTTGTTCACAATTGAGAGGATATTATAGCTGACATGTATCCCTCAAGTGTTTTGGTGGGATAAAATACTATTATTTTTCAGATGTTGCTATAGTATCCTTAAAAAGCTGCTCAGTCACTTTAGGTCAAGTTCCATGATGATACCAGAGAAGTCTGGATGTTGATGTAACAGCATGGTACTGAAAGGGAGAGGCCTGGAGGACTGTCTCACGGCCTTGGTGTGTGTGTGTGTCCCTGCAGTCTCACAGCCCTGACGCAGCACAGCGCCCACTGTTTATTTCAGCTCGCTCCTGCGTTTATTTTCATTAAGGTATAATGTCTATTTTAGTATGCCTCTTATGCCTCTTGTGTTATTTTAGATGAGTCATTTGGGAATGCGTGGGTACATGCGAGAACACTTTGTGCCTGTGTTAGGAGAGGAAGACACACACACAGGGAAGAGTGAGGGACAGTGAGAGCTACTGTGCACTGTTCTGTGGTGACTGACTGGGTGTATTCAACACCAATGCCAAAGAATACAAGCAGAATGTGTTTTCATACTGAACACTTCAGTATCTATTAGTGTAAATAAATGTTAAGTGTTCCATCGTTTAATACCCTCATAGATCATCACTCATTCCTACAGTTAAGTGTATCTGTGCTTTAAAAAAACATTCCATTCCTACATTCGTTTGTTAAAACATAAACTGTGTATAGTTTGGGGGAAGCCCATATTTTCAGTTACAGTAATACACTCATGTTTCCTCAATGAAATAGCACAACATACAGCTGGTCTACTACTGTAGGATGTAAAATACCTACAGTGTTGGGTTTGAAGGATGGGTTAGAATAAAAATAGATCAAATAAAAATAAGTTCTGTGTGAAACGTCCGTATACAGTGGCTTGCGAAAGTATTCACCCCCCTTGGCATTTTTCCTATTTTGTTGCCTTACAACCTGGAATTAAAATTGATTTTGGGGGGGGTTGTATCTTTTGATTTACACAACATGCCTACTACTTTGAAGATGCAAAATATTATTTATTGTGAAACATAAAAAACATAACTTTTCACCAAGCCAAAGTCAATACTTTGTAGAGACGTCTTTTGCAGCAATTACAGCTGCAAGTCTCTTGGGGTATGTCTCTGTAAGCTTGGCACATCTAGCCACTGGGATTTTTGCCCATTCTTCAAGACAAAACTGCTCCAGCTCCTTCAAGTTGGATGGGTTCCGCTGGTGTACAGCAATCTTTAAGTTATACCACAGATTCTCAATTGGATTGAGGTCTGGGATTTGACTAGGCCATTCCAAGACATTTAAATGTTTCCCCTTAAACCACTCGAGTGTTGATTTAGCAGTATGCTTAGGGTCATTGTCCTGCTGGAAGGTGAACCTCTGTCCCAGTCTCAAATCTCTGGAAGACTGAAACAGGTTTCCCTCAAGAATTTCCCTGTATTTAGTGCCATCCATCATTCCTTCAATTCTGACCAGTTTCCCAGTCCCCACAGCATGATGCTGCCACCACCATGCTTCACTGTGAGGATGGTGTTCCCGGGGTGATGAGATGTGTTGGGTTTGCGCCAGACATAGCGTTTTCCTTGATGGCCAAAAAGCTCAATTTTAGTCTCATCTGACCAGAGTACCTTCTTCCATATGTTTGGGGAGTCTCCCACATGCCTTTTGGCGAACACCATATTTTTTCTTTAAGCAATGGCTTTTTTCTGCCCACTCTTCCGTAAAGCCCAGCTCTGTGGAATGTACGTCTTAAAGTGGTCCTATGGACAGATACTCCAATCTCCGCTGTGGAGCTTTGCAGCTCCTTCAGGGTTATCTTTGGTGTCTTCGTTGCCTTTCATTTAATGCCCTCCTTGCCTGGTCTGTGAGTTTTGGTGGGCGGCCCTCTCTTGGCAGGTTTGTTTTGGTGCCATATTCTTTCCATTATTTAATGGTGCTCCGTGGGATGTTCAAAGTTTCGGATATTTTTTTATAACCCAACCCTGATCTGTACTTCTCCACAACTTTGTCCCTGACCTATTTGGAGTGCTCCTTGGCCTTCATGGTGCCGCTTGCTTGGTGGTGCCCCTTGCTTAGTGGTGTTGCAGACTCTGGGGCCTTTCAGAACAGGTGTATATATACTGAGATCATGTGACACTTAGATTGCACCCAGGTGGACTTTATTTAACTAATTATGTGACTTCTGAAGGTAATTGGTTGCACCAGATCTTATTTAGGGGCTTCATAGCAAAGGGGGTGAATACATACAGTGGGGAAAAAAAGTATTTAGTCAGCCACCAATTGTGCAAGTTCTCCCACTTAAAAAGATGAGAGAGGCCTGTAATTTTCATCATAGGTACACGTCAACTATGACAGACAAATTGAGAGAAAAAAATCCAGAAAATCACATTGTAGGATTTTTAATGAATTTATTTGCAAATTATGGTGGAAAATAAGTATTTGGTCACCTACAAACAAGCAAGATTTCTGGCTCTCACAGACCTGTAACAACTTCTTTAAGAGGCTCCTCTGTCCTCCACTCGTTACCTGTATTAATGGCACCTGTTTGAACTTGTTATCAGTATAAAAGACACCTGTCCACAACCTCAAACAGTCACACTCCAAACTCCACTATGGCCAAGACCAAAGAGCTGTCAAAGGACACCAGAAACAAAATTGTAGACCTGCACCAGGCTGGGAAGACTGAATCTGCAATAGGTAAGCAGCTTGGTTTGAAGAAATCAACTGTGGGAGCAATTATTAGGAAATGGAAGACATACAAGACCACTGATAATCTCCCTCGATCTGGGGCTCCACGCAAGATCTCACCCCGTGGGGTCAAAATTATCACAAGAACGGTGAGCAAAAATCCCAGAACCACACGGGGGGACCTAGTGAATGAACTGCAGAGAGCTGGGACCAAAGTAACAAAGCCTACCATCAGTAACACACTACGCCGCCAGGGACTCAAATCCTGCAGTGCAAGACGTGTCCCCCTGCTTAAGCCAGTACATGTCCAGGCCAGTCTGAAGTTTGCTAGAGTGCATTTGGATGATCCAGAAGAGGATTGGGAGAATGTCATATGGTCAGATGAAACCAAAATATAACTTTTTGGTAAAAACTCAACTCGTCGTGTTTGGAGGACAAAGAATGCTGAGTTGCATCCAAAGAACACCATACCTACTGTGAAGCATGGGGGTAGAAACATCATGCTTTGGGGCTGTTTTTCTGCAAAGGGACCAGGACGACTGATCCGTGTAAAGGAAAGAATGAATGGGGCCATGTATCGTGAGATTTTGAGTGAAAACCTTCCATCAGCAAGGGCATTGAAGATGAAACGTGGCTGGGTCTTTCAGCATGACAATGATCCCAAACACACCGCCCGGGCAACGAAGGAGTGGCTTCGTAAGGAGCATTTCAAGGTCCTGGAGTGGCCTAGCCAGTCTCCAGATCTCAACCCCATAGAAAATCTTTGGAGGGAGTTGAAAGTCTGTGTTGCCCAGCGACAGCCCCAAAACATCACTGCTCTAGAGGAGATCTGCATGGAGGAATGGGCCAAAATACCAGCAACAGTGTGTGAAAACCTTGTGAAGACTTACAGAAAATGTTTGACCTGTGTCATTGCCAACAAAGGGTATATAACAAAGTATTGAGAAACTTTTGATATTGACCAAATACTTATTTTCCACCATAATTTGCAAATAAATTCATTAAAAATCCTACAATGTGATTTTCTGGATTTTTTTCTCTCAATTTGTCTGTCATAGTTGACGTGTACCTATGATGAAAATTACAGGCCTCTCTCATCTTTTTAAGTGGGAGAACTTGCACAATTGGTGGCTGACTAAATACTTTTTTCCCCCACTGTATGCACGCACCACTTTTCCGTTATTTATTTTTTTGAATTTTTTGAAACAAGTGTCACGAATACCGCCGAGGCTGCTCCTCCTCCTTGTTCAGGCAGGCTTCGGCGTTCGTCGTCCCCGGAGTACTAGCTGCCACAGTTTGATGTTTTCGATGTTTGTTTTGTCATGTCTAGTTAAGTGCACCTGTTTCGTATTCTGTCATGATTATGTCACCTATAAGTTTCCCTGTGTTATGTTTTGTAGTTGTGTGTTATTGTCCGCCTGTCGTTTGTTTCGAGGTTCGGTACTTTTGTTTGTGAGTGTTTTTACGCATTTCGCGTATTAGTTTGCCTCCGGTGTTTCGAGGCCATTTATTTTGTATTTGTTCAAGTATTTCAGTAAAGTCGTTTTGACTTATCCTCTGTGTCCTGCGCCTGACTTCACCACCGCATCCACATCAGTACCGTGACAACAAGTTATTTTTTCATTTCACTATTTTGTGGATGTCCATTACATGAAATCCAAATAAAAATCCATTTAAATTACAGGTTGTAATGCAACAAAATAGGAAAAACGCCAAGGGGGATGAATACTTTTACAAGGCACTGTACACACTTAATGCTAGTTTGTTTGTGTTGTTCTTATTGTTGTAAGTATATATGTCTTCCAATCATTTTATCCATTTATAAATATGTTTTAGATAGACCTATGCCATTTGTATGCTCATGGATTTCAGTTTGTATTGACTGCTGTATGGGTGTAATTGAACATGAACTTGAACTGGACCTAAACTGCAAGTTTCTATAAGCTGACTCATTGTCAGTCGATCTGTGTAGGCTGCCTTCTACAGTAGACTGTGTCTCTATGGCCTGTTCACTCTCTCCAGACTGCAGGAGGCTCATGGCTGAGTGGATGAGCTGGGAGCCAGGGGGGGGCTGTAACCTCCTCCAGGCCCTGAAAAGAGGCTGCACTCAGCTTGACTCCCTGGTCATCATCCTGGGCTCCAGGTGAATCAACTTGAACAGGACAGTGATGTAGTGGGACTGTTAATGAAAGGACAGAAATAACTGCATTGAGTTGTATTATGTATTATAAATGGACTAATCAGAGAGCAGGGCTAGGATGACCATTCAGAGAGCAGGTGTATAACAATGTCATTATGATTATGTCATTATTAAGGGATTAATCAGAGCAGGGTTATGACGATCTTATGATGAAAGGACCAATCAGATAGCGGGGTTATGATGTCACTGTGAAGGTACCAATCAGAGAGCAGGGTTATGATGATGTCATTTTGAAGGGACCAATCAGAGAGCGGGGTTATGATGATGTCATTTTGAAGAGACCAATCAGAGACCGGGGTTATGACGATGTCATTATAAAGCGACCGATCAGAGAGCAGGGTTATTCTTACACATAACAAGTAGCAAGTCCTCTGTGTTTGATGATAGTACTTCCTCCTCTTTAACTTCTCTCCTTCCTCTCCTTCCCTCTCTCTAGCCCTGACCAGACCTCAGATGCGCTCTTTGATTACGTAGAGCAAAGCATTTTGGGAAGGGCGTTGTCGATCCATGTGGTGTCCTATTGTAGCATTAGCCCTCTGACCATTGTGAGTCAAACTGCTGGACCTTCATGTCACCAACAATCGTGTGTTTTTATTAATAGAGGGACAGATTTACAAAAATTTTGAATCTGTGCAAAGTTTGGTCAACGATTCACTGTGTCTCTACCTCAAACAGGCAACTGTAAAGAGACTAGCTGAAGTTACATGGGGACGCCACCACATCTTCTCAGCTTCACTGGTAACCTGTCTGTCCTGACTGTGCTATTTGGGTTTGTGTTTTAGTGTGGTGTGGTCAAAAATGACTTTCTCTCCTGTTTGTGTGTGTGTGTGTGTGTGTGTGTGTGTGTGTGTGTGTGTGTGTGTGTGTGTGTGGTGTGTGGATCAGGGTGTAGTGGACAGCAGTACAGACGTGGAGCTGCTGTGGACAGAGATCAAGGCAGCCAGAGAGCTGCTGGGACACACTGAGGCCCTAGTCAGGGACGACTGGGGGACATGACTGTCACTGTGGTGGGACACAATGTGAATGGACTCTGTGTGTGCGTGTCTGTGCGTCTGTGCCTGTGTCTGTGTCTGTGTGTACAGCATTTTTCTTGAATATCTTACATAAACCTTTTAGTGAATATTTCCTCTTATTGTACTCCCCCAGATTTCCACAGAGTTGGACAGCCTATCACTCTCTCCCTCGCTCCCTCGCTCCCCAGTCCACCCAACCACAATGCCCCCCTGAGCATCAAGCCCCCAGGTGTCCAGCCCACCTCCTCGGCTGATTGGCTGAGGAACCATGGACTGAAAGGTACAGTGAGGGAAAAAAGTATTTGATCCCCTGCTGATTTTGTACGTTTGCCCACTGACAAAAAAATGATCAGTCTATAATTTTAATGGTGGGTTTATTTGAACAGTGAGAGACAGAATAACAACAAAAAAATCCAGAAAAACGCATGTCAAAAATGTTATAAATTGATATGCATTTTAATGAGGGAAATAGGTATTTGACCCCCTCTCAATCAGAAGGATTTCTGGCTCCCAGGTGTCTTTTATACAGGTAACGAGCTGAGATTAGGAGCACACTCTTAAAGGGAGTGCTCCTAATCTCAGTTTGTTACCTGTATAAAAGACACCTGTCCACAGAAGCAATCAATCAATCAGATTCCAAACTCTCCACCATGGCCAAGACCAAAGAGCTCTCCAAGGATGTCAGGGACAAGATTGTAGACCTACACAAGGCTGGAATGGGCTACAAGACCATCGCCAAGCAGCTTGGTGAGAAGGTGACAACAGTTGGTGCGATTATTCACAAATGGAAGAAACACAAAATAACTGTCAATCTCCCTCGGCCTGGGGCTCCATGCAAGATCTCACCTCGTGGAGTTGCAATGATCATGAGAACGGTAAGGAATCAGCCCAGAACTACACGGGAGGATCTTGTCAATGATCTCAAGGCAGCTGGGACCATAGTCACCAAGAAAACAATTGGTAACACACTACGCCGTGAAGGACTGAAATCCTGCAGCGCCGCAAGGTCCCCCTGCTCAAGAAAGCACATATACAGGGCTGTCTGAAGTTTGCCAATGAACATCTGAATGATTCAGAGGAGAACTGGGTGAAAGTGTTGTGGTCAGATGAGACCAAAATCGAGCTCTTTGGCATCAACTCAACTCGCCATGTTTGGAGGAGGAGGAATGCTGCCTATGATCCCTCTAGTGGTGCGGGGGCTGTGCTTTGGCGGAGTGGGTGGGGTTATATCCTTCCTGTTTGGCCCTGTCCGGGGGTTTCTTCGGATGGGGCCACAGTGTCTCCGGACCGCTCCTGTCTCAGCCTCCAGTATTTATGCTGCAGTAGTTTATGTGTCGGGGGGCTGGGGTTAGTTGGTTATACCTGGAGTACTTCTCCTGTCTTATCCAGTGTCCTGTGTGAATTTAAGTATGCTCTCTCTAATTCTCTCGTTCTCTCTTTCTCTCTGAGAACCTGAGCCCTAGGACCATACGTCAGGACTACCGGGCATGATGACACCTTGCTGTCCCCAGTCCGCCTGGCCTTGCTGCTATTCCAGTTTCAACTGTTCTGCCTGCGGCTACGAAACCCCTACCTGTCCCAGACCTGCTGTTTTCAACTCTAAATGATCGGCTATGAAAAGCCAACTGAGAGACCTGAGCCCTAGGACCATACGTCGGGACTACCGGCCGTGGTGACTCCTTGCTGTCCCCAGTCCGCCTGGCCTTGCTGCTATTCCAGTTTAAACTGTTCTGCCTGCGGTTATGGAACCCCTACCTGTCCCAGACCTGCTGTTTTAAACTCTAATGATCGGCTATGAAAAGCCAACTGAGATTTATTCCTGATTATTATTTGACCATGCTTGTCACTTATGAACATTTTTGAACATCTTGGCATGGTTCTGTTATAATCTCCACCCGGCACAGCCAGAAGAGGACTGGCCACCCCTCATAGCCTGGTTCCTCTCTAGGTTTCTTCCTAGGTTTTGCCTTTCTAGGGAGTTTTTCCTAGCCACCGTGCTTCTACACCTGCATTACTAGCTGTTTGGGGTTTTAGGCTGGGTTTCTGTACAGCACTTCGAGATATTAGCTGATGTAAGAAGGGCTATATAAAATAAAATTGATTGATTGATTGAACACCATCCCCACCGTAAAACATGGAGGTGTAAACATTATGCTTTGGGGGTGTTTTTCTGCTAAGGGGACAGGACAACTTCACCGCATCAAAGGGACGATGGACGGGGCCATGTACCGTCAAATCTTGGGTGAGAACCTCCTTCCCTCAGCCAGGGCATTGAAAATGGGTTGTGGATGGGTATTCTATCATGACAATGTCCCAAAACACACGGCCAAGGCAACAAAGGAGTGGCTCAAGAAGAAGCACATTAAGGTCCTGGAGTGGCCTAGCCAGTCTCCAGACCTTAATCCCATAGAAAATCTGTGGAGGGAGCTGAAGGTTTGAGTTGCCAGTGTTGATTCCAAAAGCCATTGGCCATGACAAGAATAGATTCAGATTGAAACTGGAATGAAGCCTCTGTCCTAAACTCTGATGTCTGATGTACTATCTAATCCTGTCTGCCTGTAGCTAAGAGACTGGGGCTGTACCAGGTTCTGTCTATCTAATCCTGTCTGCCTGTAGCTAAGAGACTGGGGCTGTACCAGGTTCTGTCTATCTAATCCTCTCTCTCTGCCTGTAGCTAAGAGACTGGGGCTGTACCAGGTTCTGTCTATCTAATCCTCTCTGCCTGTAGCTAAGAGACTGGGGCTGTACCAGGTTCTGTCTATCTAATCCTCTCTCTCTCTGCCTGTAGCTAAGAGACTGGGGCTGTACCAGGTTCTGTCTATCTAATCCTCTCTCTCTCTGCCTGTAGCTAAGAGACTGGGGCTGTACCAGGTTCTGTCTATCTAATCCTCTCTCTCTCTGCCTGTAGCTAAGAGACTGGGGCTGTACCAGGTTCTGTCTATCTAATCCTCTCTCTCTCTGCCTGTAGCTAAGAGACTGGGGCTGTACCAGGTTCTGTCTATCTAATCCTCTCTCTCTCTGCCTGTAGCTAAGAGACTGGGGCTGTACCAGGTTCTGTCTATCTAATCCTCCCTGCCGAGTAAAGACTGGGCTTGTCCAGGTTCTGTCTCCCAATGCCTATTCTCTACTGGAGGGGTTTGTACCTATCCTGAACAAGACTGTCAGCTCAACAGTCCATGAGGTACCACTGTCTGTCTCTTCTTTCTTCTTTCTCTCCTTGTAATGGCCTAACAGTCGATGGTTCATGAGGTACCACTGTCTGGCTCTTTTTATCTTCTGCACACACAGTCCTTTCTCTCATTTTCTTCTGTCTCATCTTTTTGTGGCCAGGTCACAGTACATGATGTACCACTCTTTCAATCCCTCTATCCCTTTCTTTCTTTCTTTCTTTCTTTCTTTCTTTCTTTCTTTCTTTCTTTCTTTCTTTCTTTCTTTCTTTCTTCTTTCTTTCTTTCTTTCTTTCTTTCTTTCTTTCTGTCTTTCTTTCTTTCTTTCTTTCTTTCTTTCTTTCTTTCTTTCTTTCTTTCTTTCTTTCTGTCTGTCTGTCTGTCTGTCTGTCTGTCTGTCTGTCTGTCTGTCTGTCTGTCTGTCTGTCTGTCTGTCTGTCTTTCTTTCTTTCTTTCTTTCTTTCTTTCTTTCTTTCTTTCTTTCTTTCTTTCTTTCTTTCTTTCTTTCTTTCTTTCTTTCTCTCCCTCTTTCCTTTTCTCTCTTATCTCCCTGTCTTTTGATGTTCCAGTCAATCTTAATGTGGTCCTTGAACAAACCTCTTTAGGTGGTGCAGGGGAGTGGGAACCCAATGCTTATTTGACTGGGCGTAATTAACTTATATCAGTTAATCAATGCTGCTTTATCAATTACTCTTCCTAGCTCAGTGATCTTTCATTCTGTCTGGGCAGCGGAAGACTTGGAGGTAAAGCATTTAGAGTAATTGCGTCGGTCACTCTTGGTTATCAGTAAGCTTTGTATTTACAACTGTTCTGTCCTTTTTCATTAATTTTATCTCAGGGTGGGAGGGGTTATCTCAAGGTGGGAGGGGTTATCTCAAGGTGGGAGGATGGGAGATGGGTTGATATGTCTTAGCCTGGTCAAACAGGCTGATCACTGCACTCACGTTTCGTTACAAGTGAAACAGCATGTCAGATCAGACTGTTTCCACCAGGCTAGATATGTCTCTAGTCTCTTGTACCTTTCTAGCTGTGAAATAAAAAATATTTGGTCACAAAATATTATGTTTATGAATGTATTTGTCCTGTACTTCCTCCCTCCATGTTGGATCCCACCCAGAAGGCCATGGTGCAGTTTGAGTGGCATGATGGAACGGTGAAGAACGTCCATGTGGACCTGCCCTTAATCTACCACTACCAGGTGGGTTCACCAGTCAGGATGTGATGTCAGAAGCACATGACGTCTTGTCTGTCTTTTGATTTGATTATTAGTATTAGTCTAACCCTCCTTTCTCCTCTCCTCAACCAGTTCTCTTCTTACTAGACTAGGTGTGTTGATAGTGATGATGTTCTCGCTCACCTTTCACCTGTATCTGTCTCACCCATCACCCCTTCCAACCTCTCTTTCTATCTTCCATCCCTGTCTCTCTCACCCATCTCTCCATCCCTCTCTTTGTCACCTACAGAAGCAGCTGCTGTCTGCTGTGGCTGTGTTGGAGAGGAGGGTGCAGTGGCTGAGCAGTGGGAGCAGACAGATCTGGGGGACAGTGTGTGAACAGAGGTACAGTAGGACACACAGCTATTAGTCTGCTATCACTCACAAAATAATGATGTCCATTATCTTTCTAGCCTGTGTCGGGGGCAGTTATTTTCTGTCACAGTATACAGATGTAGGATCTTAATTTGTTGCTGAGAAATGTTCCTGTACAGCAGGCAATGCAAACTTGTAGTGTATTTTAGGTTTAAAAAGTCCACTTTAAAATGACAGACTTGATTTGCCCTAACAAAAAATGTATCAACCCCTACAAAAAATGTCAGTTAATTATAATCTACATAATAATTCACATTTCCTGTTGCTTCAGGATTATTTTCCTGCTGTAGCAAACTGGCTCAAATTAAGCAGTTTCAAAGGTCCACCAATCGCTCTCTCTCTCTCTCTCTCTCTCTCTCTCTCTCTCTCTCTCTCTCTCTCTCTCTCTTTCTCTCTCTCTCTCTCACTCTCTGTCTCTCTCTTTCTTTCTCTCTGTCCCTCTCTCTCTTTCTCTCTCTCGCTCTGTCCCTCTCCCTCTCTTTCTCTCTCTCTCTCTGTCTCTCTCTGTCTTTCTTTTTATGTCTCTCTGTAGGGTGGTGATTGTGGTAGACATGTCTATGATGATCTCTGGCTTCTCTCTCCACATCCAGCACTCCCTCAGGGTGCTACTGGAGGAGCAGCTGACCAACAAACACAGCTTCAACATCATTGCGTAGGTCACACACACACACCACAGGAGGTTGGTGGCACCTTAATTGGGGAGGACAGGCTCGTGGGAATGGCTGGAGCGGAATTGGGTGATTGGTATCAAATACATCAAACACATGGTTTCCAGGTGTTTATGCCATTCCGGCCATTATTATGAGCCGTCCTCATCTCAGCAGCCTCCAATGACACACACACACACACAAACACACACACACACACACACACACACACACACACCCACATGCAGAAACACACACACGCACAATCCCCATTTGATAGCACATTGAGCTCACATGAATCCAATCACAACACAAGCGCTGCATGTTCTAATCCTTGATAATAGATCAAGGAAAAAATACAACTCTTTCACATAACAACCCTGTACACTCAAATAAATCAATCAAATCAAATGTATTGGTCACATACACATGGTTAGCAGATGTTATTGCGAGTGTAGCGAAATGCTTGTGCTTCTAGTTCCGACAGTGCAGCAATATCTAGCAAGTAATATCTAACAGTTCCACAACAAAAACCTAATACACACAAATCTAAGTGTCTCTCCAACACTCTCTCACCTCCACTCCCCCAATCTCCAGTTTAATCAAGTGTGATTTGGTTACGTTCTGCATGAGAATAGATCTAATTGATTTGGCTGTCAAAGGTTCCCCCTGCATTAGCACATTTACCTGCCTGTCAGACCGTGACCTCACCTCACCACATACGTTTTTAACAGACATTTGCTTGATCCTTAATGGGGATGGTTAATAGAGTGAAATGACTCACTCGAATAAGAATCCAAATTATAGCCCTGCTCATTCAAATTGAGATATAAAAAGCCTGGGGCCTTAGATAATCGTCGGAGTTCAATCTATTTATAATGCAGATTGGATGTGGTATTGAAATATGGAGTTGTTACTGGGATTTAAGTGCATATACTGTATGTGGATGATGTTTCTGTAGTATGTGCAGTACATTGCAGAGTACATTGTTGCATGTTGTGATCCCTAATCTGCTATCTCGTTATTGTCAGTTGACAAGGTTACAATGGAGTTGGATGGTTGGTTGTTTATTGCATCACCAACATTTAAGTTTCATGTTTTATTGTCAAGTGCACAAGTACAGTGAAATGCCTCTCTTGCAAGCTCTTTTCCAACGATGCAGTAATCAATATCAGTAGTACTATAAAATAAAGTAAAGTAGAACAAAAACACACAAGAAAATAGAAATTAGAAGAACAGGAGAATGTAAGTAAGTGCCTTCGGAAAGTATTCAGACCCCTTGACTTTTTCCATATTTTGTTACGTTACATGCTTATTCTAAAATTGATTAAATAAATGTTTTCCTCATCAATCTACACACAATACCCCATAATGACAAAGCGAAAACAGTTTTTTTATTTACATAAGTATTCAGACCCTTTGCTATGAGATTCAAAATTGAGCTCAGGTGCATCCTGTTTCTACAACTTGATTGGAGTCCACTTGTGGTAAATTCAATCGATTGGACATGATTTTGAAAGGCACACACCTGTCTATATAAGGTCCCACAGCTGACAGTGCATGTCAGAGCAAAAATCAAGCCATGAGGTCAAAGGAAATGTCCGTAGAGCTCCGAGACAGGATTGTGTCAAGGCACAGATCTGGGGAAGGGTACCAAAAAATGTCTGCAGCATTGAAGGTCCCCAAGAAGACAGTGGCCTCCATCATTCTTAAATGGAAGATGTTTGGAACCACCAAGACTCTTCCTAGAGCTGGCCGCCTGGCCAAACTGATAAATCGGGGGAGAAGGGCCTTGGTCAGGGAGGTGACCAAGAACCTGGTGGTCACTCTGACAGAGCTCTAGAGTTCCTCTGTGGAGATGGGAGAACCTTCCAGAAGGACAACCATCTCTGCATTACGTCTGGATGAAACCTGGCACCATCCCTACGGTGAAGCATGGTGGTGGCAGCATCATGCTGTGGGATGTTTTTCAGCGGCAGGGACTGGGAGACTAGTCAGGATCGAGGCAAAGATGAACGGAGCAAAGTACAGAGAGATCCTTGATGAAAACCTGCTCCAGAGCGCTCTGGACTTCAGACTGGGGCGAAGGTTCACCTTCCAACAGGACAACGACCCTAAGCACACAGCCAAGACAACGCAGGAGTGGCTTTGGGACAAGTCTCTGATAGTCCTTGAGTGGCCCAGCCACAGCCCGAACTTGAACCCGATCGAACATCTCTGGAGAGACCTGAAAATAGCTTTGCAGCAACGCTCCCCATCCAACCTGACAGAGCTTGAGAGGATCTGCAGAGAAGAATAGGAGAAACTCCCCAAATAAAGGTGTGCCAAGCTTGTAGCGTCATACCCAAGAAGACTCAATGCTGTAATCGCTGCCAAAGGTGCTTCAACAAAGTACTGAGTAAAGGGTCTGAATACTTATGTAAATGTGACATTTCCGTTATTTATTTGTAATAAATTAGCAAACATTTCTAACACCCTGTTTTGCTTTGTCATTATGGGGTATTGTGTGTAGATTGATGAGGGAAAAAAAAGATTTTAATCAATTTTAGAATAAGGCTGTAACGTAACAAAATGTGGAAAGATTCAAGGGATCTCAATACTTTCCGAAGGCACTGTATATACAGGGTCAGTTACAGGGTCAGTTCCAATACCATATTTACAATGTGCAGGGATACTGGAGTGGTAGAGGTAGATATGTATAGGGGTAAGGTGACTAGGCATCAGGATATATGATAAACAGAGTAGCAGCAGCGTATATGAGGATTGTATTAATATTTAATTTAATTTAATATGCCATTTAGCAGACGCTTTTATCCAAAGCGACTTACAGTCATGCGTGCATCATTTGTATGGTGTGTGTCTGTTTTGGGGGGTTTTTTTTTTTGGGGGGGAAAATTTGGGTTTTTAAAGGGGGGCCCCAAAAAAAAAAATTTTTTCCCCCCTTGAAAAAAATTTTTTCCCCCCGGGGGGGGGGGTTTTTTTGGGATTTTTTGGGGGGGGGGAAAAAAAAAAAAAGGGGCCCCCCCGGGGAAAAAGGGGGGAAAAAAACCCCTTTTTTGGGGGTTTTTTTTTTAAAAAAAACCCCCTTTTTTTGGGGGGGAAAAAAAACCCCCCCCTAAAAAGGGGTTTCCCCCCTTTAAAAAAAAATTTTTTTTTTTTGGGGGGGGGGGGAAAAACCCCCCCCTTTTTTGGGGGGGAAAAAAAAAAAAAGGGGGGGGTTTCCCCCCCGAAGTTTTTTGGGGGTTTAAAATTCCCAAAAGGGGAAAAATTTTTTTTTCCCCCGGGGGGCCCCCAAAAAAAGGGGAAATTGGGGGGGGCCCCCCCCCCCCAAAAGGGCCTTTTTTGGGTGTTTCCCAAATTTTTTTTTTTTCCCCCGGGGGTTTTGTTTTTGGGGTTTGGTGTTTTTGGGGGGTTTTTTTTTTTTTTTTCCCCCCCCCCCTTTCCCCCTTTTTGGGGTTCTTTTTTTTAAAAAAACCCCTTTGGGGGGGGGGCCCCCCCAAAAAAAAAAAATTTTTTTTTTTTAAAGGGGGGGGGGGGGGGTTTTTTTTTTTTGGGGGGGGGGAAGGGGTTTTTGGGGGGGGGTTTTTTGGGGGGGGAAAAGGGGGGGTTTTTTGGGGGGGAAATTTTTTTTTGGGGGGGGGTTTTTTTTTTTGGGGGGGGGGGGGGAAAAAACCCCCCTTTTTTTCCCCCCCCCCCCCCTTTTTTTCCCTTTAAAAAGGGGGTTTTAAAATTTTAGGGGGTTTTTTTTTTTTTTAAATTTTTTTTAAATTTTTTTTTAAAATTTTTTTTTTAAAAAAAAAAATTTTCCCCTTTTTTTTTTCCCCCGGGGTTTTTTTTCCCCTTTTTTTTTTTCCCCCCCCGGGGGGGAAAAAAAACCCCCCCTTTAAAATTTTTTTGGTTTTTTTAAAAAAGGGGGGCCCCCCCGGGGCCCTTTTTTTAAGGTTTTTTCCCCCCTTTATTTTTTTTTTGGGGGGGGCCCCGGGGGTTTCCCTTTTTTCCCCGGGGGGGGGGAAATTTTTGGAAAAACTTTTTCCCCTTTTTTGGGGGGAAAATTTTTTCCCCCAAAACAAAAAAAATTTTTAAAAACCCCCCGGGGAAAAAAAAAAGGGGTTTTAAAATTCCCCTTTCCCCCCCCAAAAGTTTTTTTTTAAAAAAAAAACCCCCCCGGGGCCCCCCTTTTTAAAAAGGGGAAAAACCCATTTTTACTTAATTAATTTTTTTGGGGTTTTTTTTTTTTAAAACCAAAAACCCCCCTTTTTTAAAGGCTTTTTTTTTTTTTTTTCCCAAAATTTTAAAAATTTTAAAAAAAAAAATTTTTTTCCCCAAA